ATGAAAACAAGTAATATGAATTTTAGTAAAAAATATTAAATATACATGATTAAAACTAATATCATTTAGTATTACTATATACTTACTAGTATTATTCGCGTAAATTTATGAAAATCATTGCAATGATCACTGTTAATTGTCATCAGGTCTAATCATCGACGCGTTTGGTGAGCTCCGTGACCAGCTTGAGTCGGTCAAGGAAGACATGGAGTCGAATTGCTTCATATGCGGCATAAATAAAGACTACTTTGATAAGGTATGACGTCATTTATTCCCATTCTCTCTGCAGTGACCACGGTTGAAAGGTTATTTTTTTTCTATCTGGTGTTACATATTTAGCTATTTGATTTTTTTTCTTAGTAAACTACTGAATTAAACACCTATTATTGGCATATTGACACCACTGTTCACTCTCTGTCTTGTAATACGCGTTGTCGTATAGTTAAGAATATTGTTATTTATAGATTTTGTGAATATGGGTTCTCAGATACTTCTTTAGATTGTACTGAGTGATATTTAAAGTAACAGCCTATAAATGTCCTACTGCTGGGCAAAGGCCTCCTCTGTACAGAGGGTATCCGGGCATAGTCCACCACGGGGCCCCACTGCGGATTGGCGGACTTCACATATCTTCCAAATTTTTTTTGTTATTTCGAAAATATGCAGGTTTCCTCACGATGTTTTCCTTCACCGCGGAGCACGTGATAAATCAGCACTTATAATTATCACTTGGTGCTGGCACCTAGGATGGAACTCAAGTGGCTCCAGTAAATTGAATTAAAGGCGAGCGCCCGGACACTGAGCTACTACAACAATAAATATTTACATATTCATATTTGTATTGTTAATTTGTTACGAAAGTCTTAAATCATAGAGATTATCCATTACATAATAATTATATATTAGATTACATAGTATGTATGTACAACCAAAGAAAACTTTGTTTTGTTTATGCAAATATATCTATATATATATCTGCAAATTTTATTTCTTTTTTGCTTAATTAGTTTGTTTGAAAAATATTTTTTTTAATTATGGATTTTGTTTAACGTTAATATTTTTTATGATTATTGTCAAGGAGCGTTAGACGTGTGTTCATTTATTGTCGCGATGGTGTCGTTACCATCGCGACAATAAATGAATACACGTCTATATATACATATATATTTAATAAACTCGTGTTCTGACACTGGCCATTTGTTGCAGGTCCCACACGGCTTCGACACGCATGTGCAAAGGGAGCACAACTTGGCGAATTACATGTTCTTCCTTATGCACCTCATCAACAAACCCGACACCGAGTATACCGGTAACTCCATTTGTATTTGTATTCTGTGTGGAATGGGTTGGGTAGTAAGTCTCAACGACCACTGCGAACTAAAAGATCTTATTTAGTCATCATCCCTTAGAAAACCTTGCCCTTTACGGTAGGATAACAGAATCCTGTTTGGTAACGACATACATAAATTCTACAAATAATATAATATCTGTGGTTCACAGATATTATAATTATTTAACACAGATATCATAATGGTTTTCTCGTGTGGGAATCGAACACACGACCCCAGCGGCGCTTGGTAACTGCGCCACGGAGTCATCTCCGGTAACTTCATAGACTACATTCTGCTTGTATTGTATTGGAGTAAGTTTTTGCTTCGGGCAAGCGATTCCAATCGTCTTTTTGGTTCACCTAGCGAGGTTCGTGACACCCGAACCGTTAAATATGTTAATAAAAAGTCAAATATCGAAGACTTTTCTATATAATACTCGGAAAACATATTTTCAGGTCAAGAAACATACGTGTGGAACATGTATACGCAACGATGTTGGGACTTCTTCCCGGTGGGAGACTGCTTCAGGAAACAATACGAGGACGTGATGGGAGAATAGAGATTAAGATAAAACTTTATGTACATTTAAAGTTGTATATAAAAACTGTTTGTTCCAACGCTTTAGAATTGCTCAAACAAAAAAAAAAGATAAGAACGAAAATTGTTATTATCTGTATCATCGAAATAATACTGTTCTAAATTAATTGCAATTCTTCTCTATTGTTGCTTTAAAAAAAATAGCGGGGAAGTTGTAAATGAATTTAAATCCAATTTATATTTTTAGAATAAAACATCAAAGGATTTTTAAGATACTGCAAATTTCATGAATTAACTTTAAAGTTCAAATCGAAATATTTCTAATCAATTCAAAGATTTGTTTATGGTTAAAAAAAAGATTAGATATGTACGTTAGCTTACGAAAATTGAAATAAACGTTTAAGGTGGCCTTTCCAGTGAATTTTCTATTTCAAATTTTTCGATATAGTTTACGTAAGAGCGTTAAATAAATAAATATAAATTAAATTATATAAGACTTTTATTCCTTATAAACATATTTTTTACATCCGTGAAACATCTCATTCCCATGGGGACATCGTATTGTCGCAATTGCGTATGGTAAAGCTTCTGGGCGCGAAACCAGAAGACGCAAGTTCGAATCCCGCGGAAAACACATTTTTTTCCAAAAAATTACTATTTATAGTGTCAACTTAAATTCAGAGACTAATACTATAAATAAAATGAAAAACAATCTTAAATCTTTTTTAAGGGCAATGGCGACATTTCTAGATACAAATATTCATTGTTGAATGTTATTTTGTAAGGTGTTGTATATTGTAAAGGACAGAGACTAGATGTCGTTGATTCAAAGTATTGCTAAAAATGCAATGTCAAGATTTGCACTGAATTTGAATTGAATTGGGCTCGAAAGAAAAAGACACATGTTCGAATCCCGCAGTGCCGGAAATTGTTGTTCATTTATCTACAAAAAAATTACAATTTAATGATTAGTTTAGTGATCTCTCTGATCAAATAAAATAAAAATAATAGAAAGAAATATTATCAGAGCATCAACAACCACAACTGTATTGATATAAAAATAATTAGAATGGTAATCATAGTAAGACAACGACATATATTAAAATAATTTATTTACACAGCACGATATTAAGTCGGAAACGATATAATGAGTTACATAGATTTAAAATGGAATGTAGAAATTTCTCATCATTTTAAGAGGAAACATCTGATCTGAAATAACTGTAAAAAGTTTATTTTAACAAAACGATTGGGTTATATTTCACTGAATCTTAACAACAGGTTGGTTTATAATATTTAAAGTCACTTTAAAATACCAAAAGCATTCATGAAAATCAAATAGAAAGATATTATGCAACACGATATCATCTCACTTTTAGGACGCTTACAATTAAAGTTAAACTAACAAAACTTCATTTTATATAGGGTGGAGAAAAGGTTATCACATTTATTTTTAACATCGAGAAAATTGGTCGATACATACATTGGTCAAGATGAAAAAATATACCTTTTTTTTTTTCGTAAACTAAACAAAAGTAAATAACGCGTGCAGATTCAACGCGAACATTCATTATTGACATATTATATATTGTTTTTAAAATAAATGTAATATTACCTTGCGCCACCTAGTACATAATTAAAAAAAGAAAATTTTGATGCAAAACTTTAAATAAATATTTTATGAAAATTTAGCTCCTTACCGAGATACTCATATACAAGTATTATCATACTTACCCGACTTACTTTTATTTTAAATATTTTCGTAAATGGTATAAAAATCTTTAGTCTCATAATAATTTTAAACGCTTGTGCGTATGATTTCTTTATTAATTCTTATATCTAATAATAACAATTATCTATACCAAATTTGGGTGAATTAGCATTTCTTTGATTAACACAAAAGCCACCAAAATATAGATTTTAACATGCACAGCTATAACTCGTAGAAAAATAAATTTTTGCTTAAATCGTTATGTACAAAATTTAGTTTAATAATGATGCTGTTGCATCATTATTAAACTAAATTTTAAGTTCCGAAATTTAGTACAACTTTTATATATCGGTTTCTGCTTATGTTTTCGCTATTAGAACGGAAATTTAAACGGAAACATTAAGCAAGTGCGCGCTGGTTTAGGCTCTAATTTATGAAGAACTCCCCAGGAAGCTTTCTGGGTATTCTATTTCTAGGTCTGTTTCTGTTTCCATCACTCCTGTCGCATCACTAGTTACAGATTCCTCAAACAGATCCCGCCTAGCTTGGAGGTGTTTAATTCTTTACAGAAACAAAACAAAAAGGCAACACAATATATACAGTATGTAATCTTAATAACAATGAGCCTCAATGCTGCAATGGTTTTTGTATAGTACTGCTTCTATTTAAACACTAATGTAATGTAAATAAGTTTTATTTAGACACAGATGCCAAAACAAATATGTACCTTTCGACTAGTTTATATCGTTGGTAAATCGGTGGAACCAGTTTTCATTTAGTTGACGAGTCATTAATGATAAACTGAGCTTATAAGCTACTTCCCTTGTAATTTTACCCGTGTGCCGTAAATTGGTTCAATTCAATTCAATTTTTAATTTAATGGCTCCATCAAGGATAGCTTGAGATAAACTGGTCACAATCGTTTACGTTTACATCGAAAGAACAGTTCTTAACTCAATTCCTCCGTGTTCACAGATACAATATTTTAGCAGCCCACAGGTTAATAAACCGTTGAAGTTAGCTTCTTATTACTACAGCATAACGTCTTCGGATTTCTCCATACAGACTATCCATCAATACAGCTCGCACCTTTAGAATTAAAGGGACCTAATTATGAAAATCATGACTTTGGCTTTATGTCAGGAATCGACCTAAAACGACCACCTTTTAAAACATATTTTTGAAAGCTACATAACGTATATTTCTGTCTCTTTCACGTCCCCCCAATTAGCGCGTTTGTTAATAAGTTCCACAAACCTTATTTTACGTTTCCCAAAAATTTATATTTTTAAAAAGGTCACTATAATTCCAAAGGTGCGAGCTGTTTCATAGACGTAAAAAAATATGTTACTTTCAAACGTTCACGGATAATTGTACAACAGTCCACAGGTTAAAAATAATATATAACGTCCGCATGCCTAGCTGACGGACGGCTGTTTGTGGGCGAGGTACAGAGTGAGGATGCTAGTGAGCGCGCTGACGAGGAATATCACGTCGAACCAGCGGTGGTAGAAGTTGAACTGCAGTTCGCCGAGCACCTGGGTGATTATTATCCGGTACTCCGGCGGCATGTTCATGCGCATTAGGAGGACGGACGAGCAGAAATACATGCCCATTATCTGGGCGAGTATCAGAACTATGATGTTCGAAGACTTCGAGGAGGAGATCTTGTAGAAGAACTGGGGGAGGTGGAAGAGTTTACTAAGCGCGTAAGATCTGATCAGTTAGTGGTCAAGAAGGTAGTTAATAAGTAAAAAGAAAGTATACAAATATATATATTAATATATTAAAAATATATATTAAAGATAATATATATATATATATATATATATTAAAAAGCAACGAGCGCACCGGTATTCACCACGAAATTCTACCGAAACGAAGGTATTGCGTCTAATGTATATGTTATTTATTTATCCATCTGCATTATGTATTTAAGCGGCGGATTATTTATCAATACATAAAATACAATTAAACTGGCAAGCTAAAAATGACAAAAGTGCAAAAAATCAAACTAAAACATAGACGGCACAATAAAAACATGCGCGTTGATCAAGCACCGTTTTTGTGATAAAAATGAAACTGCTCAAAAAATGTGAATGATCATAAAACAAAATTACTCTGGTAGGACCAAGCAACAGTTTTAGCTGTTGCACGAATGCGCAGTACCGTCCGGTAAAGTACCACGACCTCACAGAAGACCACTGGAAACGGGAAAATTATACGTCTGCGTTTCATCAGTGAGGTAGCCGCGGCTCACTTTATTAAAAGGCATTGCATCTGCAACCCTACGTGTCAAATGTCAAAGGACGGCGGCTATCCCTTAACTACGGGTTAATAGTCTGCCATAATAGTCTAACCTAAACACTTCTTTAGATAAAAAAAATACATTAATAGTTAATACACACCTTGGTTAGTGTCAGCAGCAATCCCCTGATGCTGGTGAGGACTATGCAGCCGACGAGGATGAAGGAGACGTGCTGGGACCAAAAAGCGACGTCTATGCTGAGCCCCAGCCAATGGACTACGATCTCCAGGCCCCTGGTCACGGGGTCCTTTTTGCCGACCCTATCGAACACTATGTTTATCGTGGACTGTGAACAAATCAAGCCAAGTTGGGTTAATTACTTGAATCGAATGTTACATTGATTCAGTTCTATGGTATTATTTATATCTGGTTAATCGTAGAGACAAGCTTAGTAGAAAAGTTAAAGTCAATGATATTTTTAATTTATTACCTAATTTATTTTTCAATTTAACAATTGGCACGTGAGATCACTCATCATCTGAGATGGATATTCAGGGGTATGTGATGACTCCGTGGCGCAGTTGCCAAGGTATTGGCTTCGGCATCGGAGGTTCGATTCGATTCCCAAACGGGACAACTATTTGTGCGACCCACAGATAGTTGTTTCGCATCTGGGTGTTTGTCCACGTGAAATTTATATTTGTAAAAACCCTTACAACACGGCACAATCTTATCCTAAAGTAAGATTATACCTCCCCCCCTCCACCCTGTATTTCCCCTGGAACGTTCTGGAACGTTCGGGACCAGTCGATCTTCTCACGCATCGTAAGATTATACCTCCTACCCCCCCCCCCCCTCCACTCTACACCTCCTAGCAGTACGTATATACAGGGGCAACTCACGATGAAGATCTTCCAAACGCAGTACAGCGAGAAGAAGTAGCCGAGGAAGTTGAAGTATTTCCCCTGGAACGTTCTGGACCAGTCGATCTTCTCGCGCATAGTGCGTGCGTCGTGCGCCTCCAGGAACAGCTGCCGGCTCAGCTCCTCCAAGCCGGCTATCTCCTGCCGCAGCTGGTTTATGTCTGGCGGACGGGTTGCCTATCACGTTACTCGTTTACGTTATGTCACGTTTTCTTTTACTCAGTTCAGGCGATAGCGCTATTGGTATATAAAAGTATGAATGTCCTTAGGGCATAGTCCACCACGCGACCCGGGCGCTCTGCGATTGGCGAAGTTTGCCACTAAGTACCAGTAACTTAGTAGCTTAGTATTCCTACTAAACACATTAGGATAAAATGAGCCGTGGTGACATTTAGTTATTGCTCTTCGTCGTGTTATTCACATTATACTACGCCCTCTCAATTAAGGTGATATATAAAAAACTTTATTTTCTTCGTTCGTTTCATGTTTTGCTTTAATTCGTACCATAATTATTGGATACTATATAATATGGATAGTATGTGGGTATATTGTATAGAATATTATTTAATTATTACCGAAACAAAACACCCCTTCTACTGTCTCTATTACTAAGCCAACTAATTGCCTAAATACAGAAAAATTTGAGAAAGTGTTATAAAATACCAATATTTTTATATGAAGTATTTCATGAAATGAAGCACAGAATAAAGTCAAACTCTTTGATTTGATCATTTTGATCATTAGGAGGATCATTCTGATCAATTCAGAGAGTTTAACTATCCTTTTGGCAACTTAAATAACATTAGAAAAGCCATTTGACAGTTGATTAATTAACATCTACGATGATCAGTGTATCAGAAACCGGGCCTTACAACCGGTTTCTGAAAATGGTATGACTGTTTGGATCGGTCATTCTGATCATTAAGAAGAACATTCTGGTCTATACAGAGAGCTTAACCATCTAGACCAGGGTAGAAGCCTTTAAAAATAATAAAAAGTGAAAAAAAAATAATAGTAGGATGCAACCCATTAGAAAAGGAGGGGAATATTATAAAAATGAAAGGAAAAATAATTTACGGGCGATCTGAGGTCGGGAAGGGGATGGGGGTGAGTTTTTAAGGGTAAAAAACGGTTTTTCTCGATTTCCGGCAAAACTAAAAGTCCTATCGAAAAAAGTCAAATGGCAAAGTTGTAGGTAATAAAAAGATCTAAAACTTTTGTATTTACACTTTTTCACATAACCTCAAAATTTATGTGAAAAATTCAAAAAACCAAGTTTTTGGTTTTTTATTTTTATCTTTTACAAAAATTTTTATTTAACGAAATTTGGTGAAAACTTACCTTTTTATGTCCCAAATACGCTGTAATTTATTCGATTAAAAATATTTATTTTTTCACCTTATTTTGAATTAATATCGAAAAAGCACCCTAATTTTCAATCGAAAATTCACCCGTCAAAATATGAGCTTTTTTCAAAAATTTGGTATGTTTTCTGTTCGTTGAAATCTCTACTTTCCGATGGTGAAAAAAAAAATATATCTTACTATAGTAAATCTCAGAAAATGCAAAAATCGATAAATATAAATATTAAAGAAATAAATGTCAAAATGTACAAAAAATATATTGTAAATATATTAAAAATCTATAATAAATGTATATATCTATATATATATATATATATATATGTATATATATATATATATATATATATATATATATATATATATATATATACATATATATATATATATACATTCAAAATATATCTTAAAAGACATAAAAAACATAGCTCAAAATATAAAAAAATATATATTTACGATATATATTTTGTATATTTTTTATAGATTTTTAATTTATTTTTTATGTATTTTGAAATATATATTTTTTTCATGGGATTACCTAAATTTGTTTGTGCAAAATTAAGGAGATTATTATTTTTTAATCCTGTATTAAAATATCATTTAATCTTTAGGTTATGTTACGTTAAGCATACTATTTTTAAAGAAAATATTACTATTTTAATGTTTGAGTTGATTGATACAGATAAAAATAGAGATAGTATTTACCTTCCTATGCAGATTCGGGAAGTTTTTTTTTTAAGTAAACTTGTCACAATTATCTTCAAGAAACTCAGCGTGCACGTGTATTTTTATAAACGATGTTGTATACTGTACTGTATTTCGAATACTGGCTAGGCTAACGGTTGTAACAGCTGCTACGAAATAGTAGGTATGTATGTAGTAAGACCCAGACCCGCCTAGCCCCTTCCCCACTTCTCTCCATGAAATACTTTTTGATGGGCTACAATTTTTCGTAGGTCACTCAGGTATATAATATAATTTATCTTAAAATCGTTATAAATAGACATCTACGCATATAATTTAAAAAAGATTCGACAACTTTCTCCAAATATTGTAGATGCCTTATTAAATATTAATTTTATTAACTTATTTGTTTGTTAATTATAGTAGTATATTTTGATTTGCAATTGTAGCATGTAATCTAACGTTTTTCAAGTAATTAAAGTGTAAATTTTAATAAATAGCTCAAAATTATTTATAATAATTAAAAAAAATTTTGGAATTCGAGTTTTTTTCGATTTTTTGCATTTTCTGAGAAGATTTACTATGGTAAGATATATTTTGTTTTCACCATCGGAAAGTAGAGATTTCAACGAACAGAAAACATACCAACTTTTTGAAAAAAGCTCATATTTTGACTGGTGAATTTTCGATTGAAAATTAGGGTGCTTTTTCGATATTAATTCAAAATAAGGTGGAAAAATAAATATTTTTAATCGAATAAATTACAGCGTATTTGGGACATAAAAAGGTAAGTTTTCACCAAATTTCGTTAAATAAAAATTTTTTGTAAAAGATAAAAATAAAAAACCAAAAACTTAGTTTTTTGAATTTTTCACAGAAATTTTGAGGTTATGTGAAAAAAGTGTAAATACAAAAGTTTTAGATCTTTTTATTACCTACCTACTTTGCCATTTGACTTTTTTCGATAGGACTTTTAGTTTTGCCGGAAATCAAGAAAAACCGTTTTTTACCCTTAAAAACTCATCCCCATCCCCTTCCCAACCTCAGATCTTCCGTAAATTATTTTTCCTTTCATTTTTATAATATTACCCTCCTTTTCTAATGGATTTCATCCTACTACTATTTTTTTTGGTTTTAAAAATTATCGACCCTGGTCTAATCCTTTTGGCAACTAAAATGAAATTTGGAAAGCCATTAGACAGCTGATTAGTTGACATCTACGATGATCAGTGTTTCAGAAACCGGGCGTAAGACTTGCACTTGACAGCGCCGTGTCTAGGACAAGATACAAAAGGATTTTTTTTTATGTGAAAAGTTGCCAAGCGAGCAGACGATTCACCTGATGTTAAGTGTAAGACATCTGCTACACCCAAGGGTTGCAGATGCATTGACAACCTTTTGAAAATTGGGCTCCGGCGACCCCACTCACCAGACGAAACGCGAAAGTATTATACTTCCACTTTACGCCGGTCTTCAAATACTTTTGTTTCTGGTGCTAGTCTCTTCGCTTAAGATGAAAATGAAAACCGAAACGGTCAGGTTATAATCCTAGCAAAGCTAGATGGAAAATTTTGCGACATTTTTATCTTCACATTTTAAAGAATACCTACTTTCAGTTCCATGGCTCAGTGGATTAGTGATACTGCCAACACTAGATAAAATGTTCGTCCAAAAGCCTCGGTTCTTGACTCCGGATTGATCCAGTAAATTGTATTGCTGCCGCCCGCCTATGCTGTTCGACTCTGCTATTGCTATCCTCTTCTTCTTAACAAGTATCATGTCCATAGTCTGCAGAAGTTTCTTCTCTATCGAAAGCACATCGGCCTGCGTAACTGGCCTGTTGAAAAAAAGAATTACATTTTATATTATATTTTTATTTATTATAATTTTATTTATTTTCTTTTTTTCGTTTATTTATATTAGTACTTATTCATCATCATCGTTTCAGTGTGGTCGAGTCCACTGATGAAAATGGGCCTCGCCAACAGACTGACACGAAGCATGATCCTGATCCAGCCACTTCCATTGACTTCTCGCGTACAGTTTGTCAATCCATCTAGTGAGGGGGCGTCCTTAACTACGACAAAACTCTGCCACTCGAGAACCTTTCCCATGGGAAAGACAGCTTCCAATTTTTATGGAGTGAAAGAGTATAAAGGTAAGTAAATAAAATGTGAGTTTTTTATAGATAAACGGGCAAAAATTTCGGAGCTGTGGGCGCATTTCCCGGAAGGCACAAGTTATATCTGAAGTGACGAATTGAGTTATATCTTCAAGAAGTACTGAAAAAAATAGGATTAATTAATTCAATGAATTACCTGATAAATATAGCCATTGATGTATATGGATAGTTAACAGCACCAAACCCTGACAGCAAAGCCATAACAGTAACTCCAATCACACCAATCCGAGAAACTCCTTGCTCTATAGAAAATATTCCCTAAAAATAATAAAAAAATAATAATGTATCTATAATAATAAACAATATCCAAAGTAATAATTATAAGATAGTATAAACTACAGGTATAATTGGACTATGAATAAAAATGTTCATGTACTTCACTTTAACTTCAGTATATGGGTTTTGATGCAGTATTATTTAGTATTGAGATGACGGCTGATAGAGGAAAGTGTGGGCATAAGGGCAGGAGAAAGAAGAAGAAGAGTGGTTTTGGTGTACCCGAGATTAACAATAAAGGATTAATTATAAAACAAATCAAATAAAAATATATTTAATTAAAACCAAAATTTAAATAAGTTTGATTACCTGCTTGGGGCTTAAAATTGGAAAAGGATCTCCAATCTTCCAAAAAAAGTACAAATATATAAACCATACAAACATAGTCAATGGTCTAATCATGTTCTGTGACACTGCAAAATAAATAAATAAAATTAACTGAAATGGAGATATACACTATTAATTAGCTGAATCTCTTCTATAGCCTTTCATTTGTATTATTTTAAAATTGTAACTATTTCAACCATTAAAAAAAACAGTAAAAAGTTGATATGATTGATATTGTTATTTTTACTTGGTATAAGCTGATATTATTACTTACCAAATCTTATATTACTAATGCAGAAGTATGCAATGTAAAATGGTATGAGGGCTATAACCATAAACAGCAAAGAATAAAGACCCAAGTTCCAGTGGAAATATCTTGAGCTAAAAAGAAATTAAATGCAGTGTTTAACAAATTATTTTAAAAATACCTGACCTTATTTCATAGGGCAGTTCAACTGGAATGCTAATATATTTTTTTAATTATAAAAATATATTTAATCAACAAAAAAACATTACATACCACCATGTACAATTAATTATGCTTGAATTTTGATCACTAGGCGAACACTATACTGCTATATAACGACAATATAAAATATGTAATGCCTCTATTACAACTACTTTAACATTAAACATGAATTGCTTATTACTTTAACATTAAACATGAATTGCTTATTGAATATTTACCAATAGAGTATTACTTTTAAAATATTTGCCATTTGAAGATCAGACGGTTGAATATTACAACCACATGCAAATCAATATTTATTTTATTATCTCATAATTTAAATATATTTAAACAAGATTTTAAACACTGAAAATTTATAACTTGCCTGGAGTCTAAGTACCCAATAATTTCAAATATTATAAGCTCAAACATAGTACAACTGAGGGCAAAAGTAACGGAGAATATGAGCTGAACCAGTGTATGATGAACTTCATAATCACGGAAAAGTTGTTTCACAAAGAATATCCAACCACCGACAAAAAATATAATCTGAAAAAAATTTTTTTTTTAAGTGATAGAGATTTTTTTTAAGAGATTAAGAAATAAATGTATAGAAATTGATTTGATCTGTTTTACCTCATCTAAACGAAGTTGTAATAACATATGTTTAATAAATCCATTCCAAAAACATAAACAGATTAATTTGAGCCGTGATAGCTCAGTGTCCGGGCGCTCGCTTTTAATTCAATTTACTCGAGCAACCTGAGTTTGATCCCCGTCCCAAAATATTTTTTGTAGATATGTGAAGTCCGCCAATCTGCAGTTGGGCCGCGTGGTGGACTATGCCCTAATACCCTCTGTATAGAGGAGGCCTTTGCCCAGCAGTGGGACAGGTATAGGCTGTTACTTTAAACAGATTAATTTAAGGATAAAGTATTTAACCTTAAGTTAACATACACACCTGAGATATCAATACGATCAAAGTATCTTCTAAGAACGTCATTTTTATATTTTAAAATGTATGGTAGTACATTCAACTCATTAATAACTCTTGCAAACTTATTTAATCAATATTTTTAATGACTGACAAATCAAATCCGACCGAGAGAGGGAGACAAACAGCCTCAAACAGCTGATTTTGACATATTTGCTACGTTTACATTGATTGCACAGATGTGAATAATGCATATTATTATTTGTTTCGTATCAATATCCGGAATCCATCTTGAGTCAAGCACCTGTCTTCCGGCCTCAAATCAGCGTTATTTTCCCCCTCTCCGATAGTGGCGCCCTTCTATGCGACCTATGGAACTAGCTTAAGCACCGGGTGACCGCTCGTCATTATAGCGTCGGTTTTCGCGCCGTTAAGAAGTCAGCAAGTTTTATACAACGCGAAAAATATTTTCATACCAACATTAAAGTTTATACATATTTTAATTTTATATTATTATTATTATAAAAAGTTAAAACCTCTCCGCAATGGAGAACCAAAGTGTTTCTGGGGAAGCGAATTCTCAGAAACGTGCACGTTCTCCATCACCGAGTTCTAGTAGTGAAAGTGATTCTACAAGTGGAAGCCCGGGAAAGAGAAGCAGGGCCAGGAAAGATTCGCAAAGCGTAAGTTTTGCACATTTGGAATTTTTGTCCCAGCAAGTTGCATTTTTAACTAATCTTATGACAAAAAATAGTGACATTGCTCATTGTAATTTTAATTTAAATAAAGAGCAATCAGCAGTAGTTTCAAATGATCTTGATTTACGGCGCCCTGAGGGTGAAATAAAAAATAATCAACTCAATATATTATCCGATATTGGTACAACCGTTAAAGATCCTATTTACATTAAAGCAAACGATAAACATCTTAAAAAATTAACGGATTTACAACAATTTTAATCGTGAAGATTGGTACGCTATAAGATTTTCTGACGGCCAAAAGAAATATTTAGCTACGCCCGGGTTCATCGAGCTTAAAGTTAATGATGAATTAAAAAGATTTGAAGCTGCGTCCTTAAAAGATTCTCGTTCGTATTTGCTAGAGCGCTCTTTTGCCGCTTTATCAAATGCTTTGCTTTGTCAAAAGGATGAATTGCAAAATACTTTACAAAAATTAGTAGATTGGGCTAGTGATTCCAAGGAGTTCCTTAATCCAAATTCTTTGTTTGATAAGATCCAATCGCTATTTTCAAAAGATTCGGGGTATAGTAAAGTGACTGATGATTTGTTACAATTAGTATGTGGCAGGAGAGCGGATCTTATTCATTTGCGCCGAGAAGCTCTTTTAAGTCAAATTACCGAAGATTTTCATAGGGAAGTTTTACATAAAATCCCTCCTAGTTCACAATCTCTAATCAACGACGAATCAGTTCAAAGTTATTTTCAAAAAATAGGGGGAGTAGACAAACTAATACGATCAGTTCCTAGCAATAAAAACAGTTTTTATACAAATCCAAGGCCATCAACTAGTAAACAGTCGGATGCTAAGTTTTTTCGACAAGAGCCCTCAACGAAGAGGGGCTAACAAAATTCTTTCCAAACAAATCAAGCTCGAATTAGACAGAACAACAATCGCGACAAGCGAAAGGGAAAGAAATCTCATCTGCAGCGTACCAATAGGGAGAAGCGTCGTGAATGACTATCAAGCATTTTACGGCGGCTGTCTCGGGCGATTTCAAAATATTTGGAGGAATTTTGGAGCACCAGACACAATAATAAAGCTTTTAAATGGAGTGCGTATTCCTTTTATCCTAAAGCCGCCACTAATATTTCCAAGTCCCACAGCGGTGCAGTGTTTCAGAACCAAAACTTCTCAAGATATGACTTCACAGATAAACAATATGTTAGACACAGGAATACTAGAACCGGCAAAACCAAGTCCCAGCTACCTTTCAAAGTTCTTTCTTATACCCAAACCAGATCAGACATTCCGCCCAATCTTAAACCTGAAACAATTAAACAAGTTTGTAACAACGAAGCAATTTCGGCTTTTCAATCACTTTCGTATACCAGACTTCCTTCAGAACCAAGACTGGATGGTAAAGTTAGATCTGAGTCAAGCGTATTTCCACGTGCCCATAGCTCGCCAGCATCGCAGATTCCTGAGAATCAACTACCATGGAGATTCGCGCAAACACCAATTGCTTCAGATGACGTGCTTACCGTTCGGTCTGTCGTCAGCCCCCAAAACGTTTGCGTCAATAACGAATTAGGTAGCAGAGTTCCTAAGGAGTCATGGCGTCAGGTGCGTGGTATATTTGGACGATTTTCTCCTAGCAAATGGCTCCAGGCATCAGCTACGGGACGACATATCATTCACAATAAGAATAATGCGGTTATTGGGCTGGACTATCAATTTCGAGAAGTCCGTGCTGGCTCCGACACAATGCCTCGAGTTTCTTGGCATAACATGGGACACAAAACGCAACGCAAAGTCCTTGTCGGAGCCGAAGTGTTTATCGCTACGCAAAGCACTTCAGCATCGGCTAAAAAATCGCAAGTGGTCTCTCAAGCAATATCAATCCCTAATGGGGAAACTGAACTTTGCGACATACGTGACTCGAAGGGGTCGGCTCCATTGTCGTACTCTGCAATACTACAGCCGACAGCTGCCGAAGAATCACCCCTATCGCAGAGTGGTCATTCCTCTGCCAGCACGATTGGAAATGGAGTGGTGGTCAGAATCAATAGGGGGGTGCATGCCAATACACATGGAGCCCATGACCCATTTATTGACCACGGATGCATTGGATATCGGTTGGGGAGCACAGCTCGGTGACATAAAAATCACCGGGGCCTGGACGAACCGACAACTAGCCTGGCACGCAAACCAAAAAGAAATGTTTGCCGTGTACGCAGCGATATTACAACAGCAACATCGACTTCAGAATGCGCAAATACTCCTCCAAACCGACAACCGCACCGTGGTGGCGTACATAAACAAAGAGGGTGGTACGAAGTCGGTGAAAATTCTCCAGCTGACGCGACAACTTCTAGGTATTTTGGACAAGTGGAATATGCATCTAGTAGCTCAGTATTTCCCGGGCAGGTACAACACAGAGGTGGATGCTCTGTCACGTCAGAAATCGTGCCCCGAATGGCATCTGAAATCAACAGCGACAGCAGTCATATTTCAGATGTGGGGCACACCAGAAGTCGATCTCTTTGCGTCGAAGACGGCTCATGTAGTGCCGCAGTACATCTCAATGGATATGGAGCGCTCAACAGTACAACGCATTTCTTCACCAGTGGCACTACGGACTCGCGTGGCTGTTTCCCCCACCAAACCTGATACCCAGAGTCCTCAATCATTTGAACCAATCCAGCGGAAAATATATACTAATTGCTCCGAAATGGAACAAAGTGTTTTGGCAAACGGATGTTCAGAGCAGGGCCCTACAGCCGCCATTTCCGATTCCAGATCTGTCGAACACTCTGTTAGACACGAGAACAGGCACTCACCCACCAGAGATTCAAACACTAAGATTAGAAGCCTGGCTGATTTTGGGTGGCAAGAGATGCTGACAGATTGGAACGATCAGGAAAAGGAGCTTTTAATGTCTAGCTGGCGAGACTCTACAATAAAAACCTACAAGCCGGCATGGGATAGATGGAAGATTTGGTGTGATTCCCATTCTATTAATTATAAGTATCCCAATGCTGACCAGGTTGCTCGCTATCTCTCTCATCTTCACCATGATATCGGCTTTGCTTATAGAACCATCCTAGTGCATAAGTCGGTAATATCAACATTTACTCATTTAACAAGCAATATTGATTTGTCATCAAATTTCCTTATAAAACGTATTTTAAAAGCTATTTCCGTAGTAGACAAGAAACCTGCAAAGCCGCCCATTTGGAATTCAAAACTTTTGTTGCAATATACGAATTCGTACAACCCTGATGAAAACAATCTTTACCAGGTTTCGAGACATACAGCTACACTTTTGCTTTTAGCCTCAGGTCGAAGAGTTCATTATCTCACATTGCTAAACGTGGACGGTCAGAGTTTAATTGATGAAGGAACTAATATAGTTCTATGGCCAGCATTTGGTTCCAAGACTGACAATTTCAATCGCAGACAGTCTGGATGGAGAGTTCGAGCCCACCCCGATAAGAATTTAAATATGGTTTTCTGGATAAGACTGTTATTACGCTTAACAGAAAATCGTAGACAAAACATAACTAATTTATTTATAGCTGTTAGAAATGAACTTAAACCTGCTTCAAGAACGGTAATAGGGGGTTGGGTTAAATCTCTTTTAAAAGAAGCAGGTATTGAAGCAACTCCAGGATCGTTTCGATCAGCGGTAGCTTCACTAAACTTTGTAGAAAATTTCCCAATTGATCAAATTCTAGCAACTGGAAATTGGAAGACGATTAGTACTTTTCGAAATTATTATCATAGAGAATTGATTGTTCACGGATTACAAAATATTACTGAACAAGTATCGTTATCAAATTACTTTGACCCGGTTACGGTCGACTAAATTAGAACTGTTCGAGTTTATAAGTTTTATTTGGATAGTTTGTAATAAAAGTTCGTTTTCTTACCTAAATTATGATTTATTTTTGCCATGTGTCTACCTATTTCAGTACATTTACTCACATTATAGCGTCACCTTTGCAGCACCAGGTGATAACAAACACATCACTCAAGATGGATTCCGGATATTGATACGAAACAAATAATAGAGAGTTTTAACTACCAATAAAACTTACCTATTATTTTTTCAATCAATATCCGGAATCCAGGTAAGGTCTACCTGGTGCATCATGAGTTCTATAATGATGAGCGGTCACCCGGTGCTTAAGCTAGTTCCATAGGTCGCATAGAAGGGCGCCACTATCGGAGAGGGGGAAAATAACGCTGATTTGAGGCCGGAAGACAGGTGCTTGACTCAAGATGGATTCCGGATATTGATTGAAAAAATAATAGGTAAGTTTTATTGGTAGTTAAAACTCTCTATTATATGATCTCAAAAAATAATATTTGTTAACAAAATAAGT